GGATAAACCCAGGCTGTGACCTCCCAGAAAGCCAGGGGCTGGCATTTCCAGGGGCTGGCATTGCCAGGGGCTGGTACACAGGAGTTTGGCTCAGCACTGCTGCAGACCAGACACATCAGGGCACACAGGCTTTCAGCTCCACTGCCACCCTTTGTGTGCTCAGACAAAGCTGGGCCCTCCCAGCTCCAGCCAAAGCAGGGCCTGGGCTGCAAAACAGAGAGGGGGGGAAAGGGCTGGGATTCCCCCACTGCCAGCAAAGCCATTGCTCTGTGATTCCTCCAGACCTGAGGGCCGGAGCAGGATGTTGCAGGGGGGGAAATTAAAGTGCCAGTCCTGGGCTCGTGCCTGAGCTGAGCCGAGAAAGCAGAATCCCCCCCAAATCCTTGGAGTGTGGGAACCTGGAGAAGCAGGTCTGGATGGGGAACCCCTCAGCCAGCACGGCCTTGGTTTGCCTGGAGGGGAGGGCACAGTGTTGGAATGCTGCTGGGAACTCACCTGAGGCTGGAATCAGCCTCCTCTCATGGATCTGGGAGGGGGAGAGGAGTGTGAGGAGTGGCCAGCAGGGCGAGGGAGGGGATTCTGCCCCTCTGCTCTGCCCTCGTGACTCGACCCCACCTCGACTGCATCCAGCTCTGGGGTCCTCAGCACAGGAAAGATGTGGAGCTGTTGGAATGAGTCCAGAGGAGGCCACGGAGATGGGATATTGGGATGAAATTCCTCCCTGTGAGGTGGGGAGGCCCTGGCACAGGTTGCCCAGAGAAGCTGTGGCTGCCCCATCCCTGGAAGTGTCCAAGGCCAGGTTGGAGCAACCTGGGCTAGTGGAAGGTGTCCCTGCCCATGGCAGGGGGTGGAAATGGATGATTTTAAGGTCCCTTCCGACCCAAACCATTCCATGACTCTATGACCTCAGGCTGAATCCCCTACAGCTTCTTCCAGGCTCCATCCAGACCTGTCTGCTCTGCCCTGGGGAAAACTCTGGCTGGTGAATCCGAGACACACACAGGTTCCTCAGCAATTCCACAGGAACTGGTGCCAAGTGCTCCTGGGGCTGCCCTGGGAACCTCTGAGGGCTGAACTGATTCCAGAAGGTTTGAGCTGACCTAGGGAGGGTTTATTTAAGGCTGGGTCACCTTCCCTGCCCATTCCTGCCCACCAGGTGAGAAAGGTGCCCAGCAACTGCAGGGCAACCTTCACACGGGTGTGTCTCATCCTGAGATAGCTCTGTCACCAGGATGGGGGACAGGAAGATTTGGGAATTCATATCAGGGATTCTCCCAGGCTTGTTGACCAGATGTGTTCCAGGAGCAGCAGCATCACCTTTGTGCCCACCATGATCTGTGCAGGTCTCAGGGGTTTTGATTCTCCAGGACCCAATCCTGTCCCGTGCTGTGCTCCCTCCAGGACATGTTCCACCCCAGGATGGCTCCTCAGCTGCTCCTCTGTGCTGGCTCTGAGCATCCCTGCCTTCCCCAGCCATGGATGATCCTGGAAAGCAGAAATCCTGCGCCAACTTAAAGCAGCTTAGAAAAATCAGACTTTCTCACATAGGAAAACAGGGACAGTCTCTGGGGCATTTGAAGGGTGAAAAGGCAAAGCTGCTGGAGTTTATATTTTAAAAGTCCTGTCCAAAGAACACTCAGGAAAAGAAAAGGGAAATAAAACAGTCTTTTAATAAATGATCAAGTGAATTAGTAACACTGCTTTAAATCAGACAAGCCAAGCAACCAGGGCAGCACCAATGGCTGGGCATGGGTGGTTTATCCCAGAGCTGGGTGTAGGACTCCCAGGATCAGATGGATTTCACCTCACCCCCATCCCAGCTGCTGCAGCAACGGGATGTGTAAATCCCCCTCTGTTTTTTTGGGGGAGTGTGGGATCAGACCCGTATCACAAAACCTTTGGGGTGCTTTATTTAAGAGAGTAGTAAAAGTCATTTACAATGAGTAAGTCCACGCAGCCCTAAACCCAAAGGCTCTCCTGGGAGCAAAACCACGCTGGAAATAACTCCAGACAACAGGAATCCGAGTCTTGCCCTGCGCAAAAGTCGGAGGGAGGAGTTGGGCCGCAGCTGGATTTGTGTCTTGGCAGCCGGGACCGCTCATTAGAGGAGCAGGGAAGACGGAAAAAGGCACCTCCCAGTTTGGCTCCCCCTTCCCAGCCCTCTCCCGCATCCCACCCCGGGCTCCGACGTGGCACTGTGGGGGCTGGGAGCGCCTGCACAGCCCGATCCCGCTTGGAAATCCCTGGATAGCGGCAGAAATCTGCCCCAGATCCGCCCGATTCCCGGAGCTTTCGCCTTGGGAAAAAAAAAAAAACAAAACAGCTCAAAGTGAAGACGAAGCTGCTCTTTGCTGGCATTTGGGTAGAATTTACTCGTTTCCTGCATGTTCACATCCTAAAGCAGATTTTTTTTTTTGTTTTGTTTTGTGGCAGCTGTCTGTGCAGTCAGAGATAGCAGGGAGGGGTTGAAACGTGCACTTAAAAATCGGGAAAAAAAATTAAAACACGAGCTTAAAAAAAACAGGTGGGAAGCACACGCTTAAAAACCAGGTGAAACTTTGAAATCTCTTTCTGGGCTGGGCTGCCAGTCCTCGAAACACCAGGAGTGATTTTTTTAATTCTGCTCCAAACTCCTGTCGCCGAGGCAGAGCCGCTTCAAAGGCCCAAAGCACAGAGTGTCAGTGGGGGTTGGCGCTGGGAGGCACCGAGCGAGGTGAAGATTAAAAGTTTCAGGGTTTATTTTAAATATCACTCAGAAGCAAAAAAAAAATCTTACATGGGAGGTAATTACACAGAAGGGTTTGAAGGTGGAGCAATGCAGAGCTTGGGCAGAGAAAACCAGCTGACAGTGGGAGTTTAAAGGAGCTTTTCTCATTTCTCAGCTGGCTGGTACAGACCAGGGATATTTCGCCTCTGGATTGGTGGTTTGATATCAGCAAATCGATTTTTTTTTTTTTTTTACTATGGCAACGTGGTAATAAATCCCAAATTGTGCTATTGAAACCCACTGTGATTGTTTATGCACGCACGAAGCAAAGCAAAGCGTTTCAAATATACACCAGTGAACAAAAAATGTGCTGTTTAAGGTATTTCAATGCTCCTTTTGCCACTGAATCCCTTCCTGAAGGGAGCTGATCTCTGAACATCATTGATGTGAGGACAGCAGGACCCTTTGGACTTAGTGGCATTAAAGACAGTTTAATATAGACCTGTTGAAATGCAAAATGCCCAGGGAAGATGTAGCTGGAAATGTGCTTTGTTCAGGTATTTTTCCCCACACACACAAATCACTGAAAAAAAAGATGAAAAAAATATTAAACAAATCCCACAAAACTGGGAGCCTTCAGGCATCTGGAAAGATGCTCAGCACCCAAAAGTGTCACCCTGGGACAGAAGAAAAATGTCATTTTGTGATGCCACCTTCTAGAATCAGTGGACTGTGAGGAGGAGTGGAATGAGGTGATTATTCCACACTAAGGTGCCTGCAGGACAACGAAAAGAATGTTCAAAGCCAGAAGACAAAATCAGATGCTGGTTCTCTTACTAAAGCAACAACCTATCTGCAGAGGGAAAAGGGGAAAATTGCAGGGCCAAAAACAGGTGCAAAAATGAAATTACAGGGATTAGAAGGAAGGGGAGACATAGACATGGTGATGGAACCATCGACGAGGTGCTGAATGACTGGGTGGTACCTGGAATACCCCAGTATCCCAGACTGCCATGAAAACAATCCCATGCTGGTTTAAAACGTGAATGTGAGTGGCGTTCAGTGCTCCTGACTTAGCACAGAAACCTCTCCAGGGCACATATTTTCCTGCAAGAACTCTCAGCCACCTGGCACGGGGTGGCAGGAGCATTTAACTCCTTCCACAGGCCTTTGGGGCCAGGAATGCTGGCCTTTCTAAACCGCATTTACTTTGCCAGACAGTGAGGATTTTGCCACGGGGTCGCACTGCAATGAAGGGCAGAGCCCAGCAGAGCAGGGGGAGATTTGGGAGTGTGGGAGGGGGGATTTGTAAGGAGTTCACAGCTCCAGCAGGCCCAGCTGCTGGGGAAAAGGAGAGGTGGGTGTGAGTGCAGGTGGGGAGAGGGATGGAAAAGCAGGCTCAGAGGGATCCAGGAATAGGAGGGAGCTCTCCAGGTGCCTCTCATTTGGCCCTCAGGTCCCTGGGAAGTGAATGCAGGTTGTCTGCACAGAGTAATTGTAATCCCAGAATGGCTTGGGTTGGGTGGGACTTTAACGATCATCCAGTTCCACCCCCTGCTGTGGGCAGGGACACTTTTCACTCTCCCAGGTTGCTCTAACCTGGCCTTGGACACTTCCAGGGATGGGGCAGCCACAGCTTCTCTAGGCAACCTGTGCCAGGGCCTCCCTAACCTCATAGGTAAGAATTCCTTCCCAATATCCCATCTAACCCTGCCCTCTGGCAATGGGAAGCCATTCCCTGTGTCCTGTCTCTCCATCCCTTGTCCCAAGTCCCTCTCCAGCATTCCTGGAGCCCCTTTAGGCACTGAAAGGGTCTCTGAGGTCTCCCTGGAGCCTTCTCTTCTCTCTTGGGTGTCACCAATGAGAGGGACGTTTTGGAGGGCAGGACGTGGCTTGAGCCAGGGACAGATGTTAAACATTCAGTGCCTGTGACTGCTCTGCTCGTGGCTGAAGCCCTTTGCATCACCCCTGACTTCAGGGGTGATGACACCCCCAAAAAAACAATTAAATATATCACCACCTTTAGAGCCAACAACGATCCGGCTGCAGGAGATGCCGGGGGAGGGAAATAAGACGGAGCAGAGCCCCGTAAAAAAAGCAAGAGCACCGTTTTGGCAGGGAATAGCTTCCCAAATCCCTGCTGCAGGGCCTGGATGGGGACGGGCAGAGCAGGGCAGGGACGGCGCATCCCCCCCAGTCCCTCCGGACCCCCCTTCGGCGGCCGCGGGGCCGGCGCTCCCTCGCCATTGGCGGCGGGTCGGGAGAGCCGGGACGGATCCTCCCCTTCCTCTCCCTCCCGAGATTTTTTTGAGAGGGTTTTCCCAACTTTCCAGAAGTTTCTCGCCGGCCCCTTATATACCCCCTCCGCCGGCCCGGGAGGTGCGCAGGGGAGCTGAGTGAAGCCGCGTCCCGACCCCAAAGGTAAGAGGTGGGGGGGACCGAGGGACCCCGGGCTGGCAGGCAGGGATTGCAGCAGGATGAGGGGGAGGGAGGGATTTTGGGGTCCTGCATCCTCCTGGTTGGCCCCATCGGGCAAAAAAGTCGGGGGGGAGGGGGTGGTATTGCATGGGAAAAGGGGGTGAATGGGAGAATGGGGTGCATGGGGAGCAGAGGTTGCATTGGGATGAAGTGGGGGGTAGGAGAGGGTACAGACTCCCCTGTGAGCTGGCTCTGGCTCTTTGAGAAATATAAAATATATTATAAAATCACCTCCAGTTTGCCAGAGGTGCTTCCAGTGTTTTTTTTTTGCGCCCAGGAGAAACTTTCAGGGCGTGGCAATAGGGAAGAGGAGGATAAAGGGAGGCTTTAGTTCGGTGTGCTGGTCCTGCAGGAGCGTCCAGCCCTTGCTCCTGCTGAGCCTGGGAGCCTGCGGGACCCTGGGCACCAGCCCAGCCCGGGACGGAGAGCTCTGCTTGCACAGGACGGGCCAAGCCTGGCCTTAGCGAAGTGTCACATCCCTCCGGTGACGTGGAAAATGTGGCTTTTCTTTGTGTGCCTTTGTCCTGCTCACGGGAGAAGCGGGGCGGGCGCCTCTGGCTGTTCCCCTGGGCGATGGCACCTCCCGGTCCTGCAGGGTCCGCCGCGGCCCCACGGGGGTCTCTGCAGTGCCACGGGGGTCTCTGCAGTGCCACGCTGGCACTGGGCGTCCCCTCCGGGCTGGGCTGTGCTGTGCGAGCAGGAGAGAGGATGTTGCTGGCCGTGCGTTCCCCGGATTCCCCCGGTTTTCGCCCTGGGTTGTGAATTCCCCAATAATCTCCAAGAATGGGCAAAGTTCCTCTTGCCTTGGCACCGCCGGGCTGCGTCACCGGGCACAGCCCAGAGCTCGGGGCCAAAATTTCTCGCCCGTAGTACTTCTCTGAAGTAATGAGGCTTTTTTTAAGCTGAGGATGAGCCGCCCGTTGCTCGCAAGAGAACTACTCCGTGTATCTGTTTTCTTTCAGAATGAAAAAGGCAAACGTTGACCTCACTATGAAAAGAGTTTCAAGGTATCTCTAGAAATAAAAGGGAACTGAAAAGCCGAAGGTTTTAGACGTGCTTTAGACACTTTCAAAGTGTGTCAGGGGCAGTTTGGAGCCTGTTGCACGAGTCTTTGCTCTGCAGGTGGCCGGGATGGCTGTTCCCTGCGAAGGGAGGGCTTGCTCCCAAGGGGATTTCAGGCCAGAAATCGCCTCCCTCTCGGAGCCCACGTAACTCCCCCTCTGGCAGAGGGTCCCCCAGGTGCAGCTGCGCACTCTGTGCCCGGGGCTGTGCTGCGTGTTTCCTTCCATGTGGAATCCCAGCGGGCCCTTCGCTTCCTGCTCTTGGAGCCTTTTAACCCTGGAGCTGCCCCTCTGCAAGCCCTTCCCCGTGTCCCCCACACCAGGAGCGGGGTGGGAGGAGGAGAGGAACTCCCAAGAAATCAAACTTCACCGTAACCTTGGGCATGACGCAGCCTGTCCTCGCCCGAAAGCTGAAGGTGGTGGAATTTAAGCCCCGAGGAGCTGCCGTCAGGAAGGTTTGCTGGGAGCAGCAGGAAGGCAGGAGGGGAGGGAAGGTGTGGGGACGTGTTATAGCCCTGCAGGCAGGTGGGATGAGCTCCAAAGAGTTTTCAGGCATTTAGGGCTGGGCAGGCTGCAGATTTAGCAAAGCTGGTGGATTGGAGCCCTTGCTCATCCCCTACATTGGGATGAGATGCATCTACCCAAGGCAATAACTCTGGTGTGGAAAATGAGGGTCCATCACCTCCCTCTGCCCTGGTACCTCCCTGGCAGGGCTGTATGGGCAAAACTAAACCGACCAGAGCTGAGCAGACAGTATTGGATCTTCTCAAGGCGCCCCTCTGACTTGGCCTGGTGGAAGCTCACGTGCTCCATCTAGTGCCAAGGAAGCTGAGGATTTGGGGACCAGCTGGTCCAAGAGAGTCCTTGTCACTGATTGTAATACCCCTGGATGGAGGGGCAGCTCTGCTGTGGTGCCCCCTGAGCAGCAGAAACATCCTGCTTTCAGCTTTTCCTGACCAGGGCAGAGGTTGCCATGGGCAGGGACACCTTCCACTAGCCCAGGCTGCTCCAGCCTGGCCTTGGACACTTCCAGGGATACAGGGGCAGTCACAGCTTCTCTGGGCAACCTGTGCCAGGGCCTCCCCATGCACACAGCCAAGAATTCCTTCCCAAGATCCCATCTAAACCTGTCTTCTTCCAGTTTAAAGCCATTCCCTCTTGTCCTATTGAGATCACCTCAGAAGTACCTGTTACTTCCATTCCCTGGCCCCTCCTTCAATCATTTAGTGTCCGTGAGTAGTGATACAGTCAAATTCCTTCAAAGGGAAGCTTCCATTCCAAATGCACAGGCTCTGAATACCTGGACTCCTGCGGATTCATTGTTGCCCAGAGGAAATCCCACTGTGGACTTGGGATTGCTGCAGCCCACGGGGAGCCTTGGTGCTGTGCCCGTCAGTGTTCCCACTGTGGAGTGGGTTCCTCTGGGATCTCTGAGCGCTCCAGGCAGGGCTGGGACGGTGCTGACGGTGAGTTGTTCTTGCCCGGCAGGCGCTGGGAGCAGCTGGAGCCATGTGGATCGTGCTGGGGTTGGCCCTGTGCGGCCTGGCCGCGGCCGTGCCCTCGGAGGACAGGAAGCTGAGCGACAAGGCCACCACGCTGGCCGAGCGCAGCACCACGCTGGCCTTCAACCTCTACCACGCCATGGCCAAGGACAAGGACATGGAGAACATCCTGCTGTCCCCCGTGGTCGTGGCCTCCTCCCTGGGCCTCGTGTCCCTGGGGGGCAAGGCGGGCACGGCGTCGCAGGCCAAGGCGGTGCTGAGCGCGGACAAGCTGAACGACGAGTACGTGCACAGCGGGCTGTCCGAGCTGCTCAACGAGGTCAGCAACAGCACCGCCCGCAACGTCACCTGGAAGATGGGGAGCCGCCTCTACGGCCCCGCCTCCATCAACTTCGCCGACGACTTCGTGAAGAACAGCAAGAAGCACTACAACTACGAGCACTCCAAGATCAACTTCCGCGACAAGAGGAGCGCCCTCAAGTCCATCAACGAGTGGGCGGCGCAGACCACGGACGGGAAGCTGCCCGAGGTCACCAAGGACGTGGAGAAGACGGACGGGGCCCTCATTGTCAACGCCATGTTCTTCAAGCGTAAGTTCTGCCTTCGGGCCTTGGTACAAGTGGCCCGAAACCCACCCTGAGCCAACAAAGAGCCATAGAAGGGCTTGGGTTGGGAGGGGCCTTAAAGATCATCCGGCAGCCCAAAGGGAAGGTGGGCAAATCCTATGTCCACCAGAGGCTCTTTGTCAGAGCATTAAATTACCCCCCACTCCCTTTTCTTACTGGATTTCTCTCTCTCCTGCAGCTCACTGGGATGAGAAGTTCCATCATAAGATGGTGGACAACCGTGGGTTCATGGTGACCCGTTCCTACACCGTGGGGGTGCCCATGATGCACCGCACAGGTGAGTGCAAACCTGCCCCCCATCGAAACCCACCAGAGCTGTGCTCGTCGCTGCTCCGTTGCCCCAGCTGCTTCCAAGGTTTTCTGGCCTCATGGGAATAAGCGAGAACAAAGCAGGGTGTGTTTGTTCTGCAGATTCCATCTCCCTGTGAGCAGAGAATCCATGTTCACTATTGGCTGTGGGGAACAAATCCCGGCTCATCACGCCAGTGAGAGCTGCAGCCAACTCTAATAATGCTGGGCCTGTTCCCAAAATGGTCCAGACTCACTTCCCTTGCCGGTCAGGGAAAGTCCAGGGTGAACTCGCAACGAGGTTTGTGTAGCTTTGCCTCTGCTCCACATCTCACCATTTCCTCCTCCCGGTTTCAAGGTCTCTACAATTACTATGATGACGAGACAGAGAAGCTCCAGGTGGTGGAGATGCCCCTTGCTCACAAGCTCTCCAGCATGATCTTCATCATGCCAAACCACGTGGAGCCTCTGGAGAGGGTTGAGAAACTGCTGAACAAGGAGCAGCTGAAGACCTGGGCTGGCAAGATGAAGAAGAGATCAGTGGCCATCTCGCTGCCAAAAGTTGTCCTGGAAGTCAGCCATGACCTTCAGGTAAGGGGGGTCCTTAAGGAGAACAGTTCTTTGGGATATAGTGGGGGAGACAGCGGGATGGGTTGTCTGTGCCTGATCCCCCTTCCAGCAGCCGTGGCTGGGAAGGGTTGTGCCGTGTCACCTCCGCGAGGGTCGCTCACCCCTCTTCTCCTCCTAGAAACACTTGGGTGGCCTGGGCCTGACAGAAGCCATTGACAAGACCAAGGCTGACTTGTCCAAGATCTCTGGCAAGAAGGACCTTTACCTGTCCAACGTGTTCCACGCGGCTGCCCTGGAGTGGGACACGGACGGGAACCCCTACGACGCCGACATCTACGGGCGCGAGGAGATGAGGAACCCCAAGCTGTTCTACGCCGACCACCCCTTCATCTTCATGATCAGAGACACTAAAACCAACTCCATCCTCTTCATCGGCCGGCTCGTGAGGCCCAAGGGTGACAAGATGCGGGATGAGTTGTAGTGGGTTGGTGCTTTTGGTGGTTTTTTTTTTTGTTTTCTCCCAGAGCTTTGGTTTGTGTGTGTGTTTTTTAGTGGGCGATTTCGAACAAGGGGCAACACTCTTTTGTATCCTTCTCGAACCATGGGTGCTATTCAGACCAGGGTGCATTGTGATGAGGAACCAGCAGACACTTTACCTCACCCCCTCCCAAATCCCTGTTGCACAAACCCACCTCCGGAGAGGATCAGGGGAGCCGGGCACAAGAGGGTCACCTGGAGCAGAAGGGAAGTGGCATCCTCAGGGAGGTGTCCAGGTTGAAGCCCAGCTCCTCCCTGCACTAGTTACGCCTCCTGCTGCGACCACCGTCCCTCCCAAATGCTTCTGTGTCCCTGCCACTCGCTTTTCTCCTGCTTGGATGCCCTGTTTAAACCCAGAGCTTGAGAGCTGCCCTTCCTGCCTTCCCAACGCTCCTCTGCTGCAGCTCTGTGGTGGTTTAGATCCCGTTTGCTGGCCTGGGGAAGGGCAGGCTCAAACCCAAATGTATTTATATTATATTTATGGCTGATAATTAGCCTGAAGTTTCACAGCCTGAGCCAGCCTAGACTTGGAGGTGATTCCTATCTTCTTCTTTTTAAGGGATATTGTAGTATCCCACCAGCATTCCAGGTCAGCCACGCCTGGCACACCTCACGTGGCAAACAGGATCATTGGATCAAGGGACATCTGTGCATCCCAAGGGCAGTGCCAGTTCTTTGGAACCACCACAGAACAACCACGTGGCTTTGCTTGATTTTTTAATTTCCCTGCTCATTTCCTTGCTGTCTTAGAAGCCCAGTACTGCACATTCCCAGCTCTCCCCACTGTGGTGGGAGGCAGGAGGCGATGCCAGGGATGCATCCAATGCCCAGGAAGCCTGGACACTTCCCAGTGAGTCAGCACTGACCCCACATGCTGTAGAAGGTTCTGGAGGATAGGGAGGGGGTAAGAGGGGTGGGCAAGGCAGGAACACACCGTGGGATGTTGGGAATTGTTTGCATCGTGTGGATGCAGGTGGTGTGAGGGCTTTTATTGTCTGGTCTTGTGCCACACAGTGACATAAATGTGTAATTTTGCAATAAAACTTTTTTTCAATGAATCTCTGGCAGTTTAAAATCAACTTAGGGAGGGGTTCCTTGGCATCCTGACAATCCAAGGTACCTGGACAAAAATTACCCTTAATGCATAGCAACAGCTGAATTCCCATGACAGGACAGTCCTGAGGAAAGACCACTTTTAGCAGGTCAGCTTTGCACTGCACTGGGAATTTCTTTTTCTTCTGAAACTGTAAGGATCCAAGATCTTTGGATCCAACATCCACCCTGGAATAGCAATATGGAAAAGAAGTTTAAAAGCTTCCCTGAGCTGATCTGACCCCCAGCTCACCTTCCAAACAGCTTTTTAAATCCTCAGGGGTTTCTGTGCAAGGGAAAACATCACCTTGACCATTATGGGGTAATTTCTATCAGATTGGGGTGTTTAAGAATTTAGAGACAACATGCATAGCTCTGTCACTCTTTATTGCTTCAGCTCTTCCAGCTTTCACACATTTCCTGTGCTCCTCCAAAGTGACAAAGCTTCCATCACCTTTAATATTTCCAGATCTTCCTCCAACTTCGAGTTTTAAAAAAATCAATAATTAATGTTGGTATTACTTACTACTAAATATTTCAATATTTCCACTGAAAGGTGTGCAAAAAGCCCTGAGATCAGACTCACTCACACCCTGAGAAGGCACATCTTGTTTCTGCCCCACAGCCCAGTTCCTGACACCCTCAGAACGCCAGTTCCTGAATTCCTGTAGAGAAACCTCCTGAAAATGGAAATCTGGCTGTGAAAGCAACCAAGTTTCTGGTACAAATTTTGGTTAATGCAACAAACAGGCTCTGAATTCCTCAAAATCTGAACAACAGCTTGATCCTGCACATTCATCACCTCTTAGGATGGGTCCCTTCCCATGCCTGCCCCAGACTTCCACCAGATATTCCCATCTCAAATTACCTGCCCCTAAAAGGAGCTGTTCCTGTAAGGATAGAGATGATCCTGTAGGGGAAGTCACATCCCAAACATCTCTCCAGTGACAGGGCCCATGGATACACGGAGGTGATAAAAGCATTAAGTAGAATAAAATAATAGTTCAACTGAAGCCAGAAAGTTACAAACTACTGCAATTCCCTTGGACATTGCTAAAAAAGCTCCCCCTTCTGGAAACCTTGGATAAGGCACTGGGATGGAAGGGAAGAGCCACCAGTACTCCAGTTCATGGAATGTTTGTGACTCATGACCCTCTTAAACACCAGTTGCTGCTCCAGCTCTGCCTAGAAATCAGCATTTTATCCCCACTTTGGATCAGGAGCTGGTGAAGTTCATTCCATAAGGAACAAGCTGGAAGAAATGCAACAGAATTCCTTCCACACCAAAAGTGGGAGCAAGGTTTTCCTGGAGTGTATCTTGCACAAAAAGAAAAAGCACCTTCACAAACACTGTCTTTTGTGATTTTATTAAGAGATGTTTTCAGGACAGCCAAGCTTCTGGTTCTACATGGGACAAACCCTACAACAAAGAACAAAACACTGAGTGAGCTGGTGCCAAACTTCTCCATAACCACTGTCCTACCTCAAAACATGGAACAAACAAACAGGCTCCAAGTTCCCAAAATAAATGGAATTTCACCCTTTCTGCATTTTGGCCAGTGATCCCATTTTTCCCACTGAGGCAGATCTTGCCCAGTCAGATTCCTTGACAGGATTTCAAACTGGGATTATTTCCCTACAAAACCAGCCTCCCCACTGTGCTTGATGGCTTCCAAGGCTGTCCCAAACTGGATGCCAGGGCAAGGGGGATATTTGGGGGTTATTTGAGGGATGTCAACTGCACACTGCCAGCAGGTGGGACAGTGGCAACACATCCAAGGCACCAAACATGTATGCCCCAACCGAGGGGCCAAGTCACTCCAACCGAGACCCAAGATTCCCAAATCCATGCTGTACAACATGGAACAGGGCACCTGGACAGGGATATTCCCTTTCAGGTTCATCATCTCCTCTTCCCTGAAGCTGCTTTGCCACGTGCCTTAAACCACATCCCCCTTCATCCAGGGCACTGCTCAAACCCAACCCAGCCTGTTATCCCAGAATCCCAGCTGCCTGCCAGCGTTTCTGGTGGCATGGCACCACTCCCACACGGATTGTCCCTCCCCCAGCCCGCAGGCACTTACCCTCAGGCAGTGGGCACAGGCTGAGGCATGGCTGGCTGCTCTGGTTTGCCCCCTTTCTGCTCTGAGATGGGGGTGGTGGGCAGGATCTCCTCTTTGGGTTCCACGATGCTGACGTGGTCTGGCAGAGGCTTTTTGGGGCCAATCTTTCCACTTGGGTCCCAAGGCAACATAATCTTTACTTTGATTCCCAGTACTCCTGCAAAGAGGGACAGGACAACACAATTCACATGGAGGAGCACCAAGGGTCACAAAGTATCTCCTGCCAACGCTGTAACACAGACATGGTATAGCTGAACAATCTCATTATTGGGAATTTACATCAGCAGTGTGTATGAGGAATTTAAATGCAGGCAAGATCCAAAATTATCCAACCCCTTGCTTTTGCAGCTTGGAACTGCAGCTGTACCCCCAGCTCATCCTAACCCTGGTTCTAAACTCTGTGCTCTTCCCGGGATAACTCAGCTCATTTTCCCAGGCAATTCCACTGGGTTTTTTCCATCCCTTCTCAGACAAATGCCTCTAGATCATCCAATGAGCAGGACACCCCGGCCAAGGCAGCCTCAGCACAGCCCCACAGAACGTGGCACTGACTGGGCTGCAGTGACACAAGGTCGTCCCTTCTGACTCGTCATCGTATCATCACCGAAGGGAAGGTGGGGAACAGCCCTGGCCCAGCTGCTATCCCTGCACCAGGAATTCTGCAATTAAATACCCCAGAGCCAGTTAAGTTGCACAAGTCATTTGTGTTTTACCAGGGGGAAGGGCAAGAGGAGGAGGCAGGTTTAGCTGGGAAGACTTGCCAGGGCACAGCAGTGGGGGAAAACTGGCTGGCATTTGCCCTTTTTGTGGCATCCACTTTCTCTCTGCCCGTCCCGAGGAGCCAGGAAAGCCAGGATGCAAACTGCCAACAGCTCTTAAACCCAGTCTTATAAGAGAGTTTCATTTATAAGTTGATTTCTTACCTGCCTCAGAGGCCTTAGGGCTCAAGTGAGAGCATCTGGAAAATCTACGGCCATATTTCTCAGCTGGAAACGCTCAAACCCCACCACTAGAGAAGTGGATGCCCTGGGATGACCACCTGAAATTCCACTGGCTGCTGAAGGCCCCTTTGCTCCCCATTCCCAAAAGCAGTTTGGGAAGGAAGCCCGTGGAGCTGGAAGGGGAGTGAACCCCAGGCACTCACCCTGCCGGAGGAGGACGTGGCGCACGGCTGTGTCCACGTAGTAGTTCACGGGGTCTCCACTGTGGATCATCAGCCCATCCACAAACTTCATGGACTTGGCCCTCTGCCCTCGGAGCTTCCCAGACACCACCACCTCACAGCCCTTGGCCCCGCTCTCCATGATGAAGCGCAGGACACCGTAGCAGGCTCTGCAGGGACAGGGAACAGACACACCGTGAGCCCACTCAGGCATCTCAGCACAATTCCAAGCACTGCCCACATCCCACTTCCAACTTCTGCTTGTTAGAAAGCCTTCTGGAAGGCACAGCCCTGCAGCCAAAGCTCTGCCAGTGCTGGGCAAAGCAGCAAAAATCTTCCCACCATTTTAACCCTGTGAAGCCCAGCGTAAGTAAACTGGTTGTGACTGGTAAGGCTGTGGGGACGGTGACACAGGGACAGTGACACAAACAGCTCCACAGCTGAGGGTGGACAATCCACCCTGTCCCTTCTCAGACAAATGCCTCCAGATCATCCACTGGTGACAGGAGGCTCCAGCTGAAGGCCCTCACGCAGCATCACAGAACGTGACCCCGCAGAGGTACCTCAAGCAGAGCCACCTGCATCTGACTCGTCATCGGCTCATCACCGAAGGGAGCTGAGAGCAGGGCCACTGTCACCTGAGCCCCTGCCTGACTCCTCCACAAAGGGGTAAACGCAAGCTTTAAGGCAGGCACACAACCTGCAATCTCATCTACTCCAAGCCTGCTCAGCTTTCAGGTCAGAAAGGGGTAATTCCTGTGAGAAGTAAGCGTGTACGCTGCTGCACTCACCGTCGCACGGCCAGCCCTCCCAGGAGCTTGTAGCGCAGGGACTCGGCCTGGGCGATGGCACACAGGCCTCTGGTGGCCACCTTCTCTGCATAGAGCTGCAGGGACACACAGCAGGGCTGCACGTGAGGCACAACATCACACAACCACAGCAGGGCCTGGGCTGGGAGGCACCTTAAAGACCCTTTCATTCCATCCCCCTGCCGTGGGCAGGGACACCTTCCACTGGACCGGGTTGCTCCAAGCCCTGTCCAACCTGGCCTGGGACACTTCTCCATTAACACAGGAGCTTCATCCCACTCCCCACCCCATCCCCTACCCCAGCTCAGTCAGTCCTGCCACATTTCCAAGGCAGAAGCTTCACCCTGGGACACTCCACTCCCTGAATCCCTTGCTGTCTGTCTCCTACTCCTGGCAGGGCTGAGACACTCCGTGGGAAGCCAGGGGACTATTCCAACATCCACAGTGCTGCTCCAAACAGCCCCAAAGGGATCAAACACATCCCAGAAGGGATCTCTGGGTTTCCTTTGTTTAACACATCAGCCAGGGAAGTCTGGTTTAAGGATTAAAACCAAACCCCTTTGATTCTGGAAAGCTGAGAGAGAGATGTACCAAACCCAAGGTCTCCAACAGACCAAGGCCTGGCAGTGCAGAAGCAGCAGACATTCCAACTCGTTACTCCGACGTGGTGTGTGGGGAGTAACGAATTCTCTGTGTTTAAGCATTTGCTGGAGACAATCAGCAACCTCCCCTGTATAATGTGATCCAGCAACACTGGCCAAGCAGGAATGCATGTGAGCACCACCCCAGGACATACAGTGTGTCCCCCCCCCTCCCTCCCTGATTTGTTTTAGGGCAGCAGATTTTATGGACTGAAATCACAGGATAGTTTG